TAAAACGTTTTGAGCTTACCTTGTGTCTGAATTCGTTTGCTTGGGGACAAGCACACAGTTAAGTGTGGGGAAATTTGATGACTCGATAATTACACATGTTTTGTCCACCATTCTTATACTGTTTGAGGCTCGGATCTCAGGTTTTAAGTCGATTTTACACTAGGTTGTTCTTGTTTATGACATTTCAGGTCCTAATGCGTGAATGAAGGTTTGAACACGAGTTTGGAGTTGATTGGGCGAAAATGGGACGAGCGATGGAGAGCAAAGGAGTTGCACGACCAGTACGGGGAAGTCTCACGGCCGTGCATGGTGGCCGTGCAAGCGAAGATGCGCAGCCAGGGTTTGCACGACCGTGCACGACGTAATTTTCGGTTGTGATAAATTGTGCAAGAAGTCGCACGACCTGACCCTGTTTTCGCACGGCCGTGCACGACTCATTTTCTGCCTGTGATGAATCATGTGAGAAGCTGCACGACCACGCTCTCGGTTTGCATGCGACGTCAATGGCCGTGCACTCCCCTCGCGGAACTAATTCAAACGCTGCGTTTTGGGGTGCACGGGCAGCCAAGGAGGCTGCATGGTCGTGCGGCATGACCGTGCATCGCGGACAACTGCTTTTTAACCCAATTTCGGGTTTTGGAGAGGGAGATGACTTTTTGGAGCAAAAATAGAGTTCTAAAGAGAGAAACTGTGAAGAACAAACCCTAAGAGCTATTTGGAGTGAATTTCTCATCATTGAAGCCCAAATTGCATCCCCAGGAGTGAAGATTGACATCCCAGAGCATATTATTCCCATCTTTATGAGTATGACTGCTTTGATTTCTGTTTTCCTCTATCTCTCTCTCTATGGAGTAGACCTTTCTCTCACTTGGGTATGAAGAACCCTAGTTTCATGTGTTAGGGATTTGAGTTGTAATGACTTTTGGATTGATATATTGTTTGATTATAATCGATTGAAGTGTGTTTGCTGAGTCAATGAAATCCTGATCAACTTCTTTTGATTTCTGCTGCAACCTAAGATAGATAGAATTAATTTACTACTTTGTAGTGGAATCTGCTTCCAGTAGTGAAGTTATGTGTGTATTGCCTTAACAGTCTATCCCGATGAAGGCTAGTCGTTTGTCGGTTAGTCTATCTAAGAGGGCTTGGTCAGCTTAAGATATTCCAAGTTACTGTCGGATCTTTCACAGTTTAATCAACAGTAAATCAACCTAAGGAAATTACAACTTGAACCTAACTAAGGAGCTAGAGGGACTCATTCCCGAGTGACTCTTCTCTTGCGGAAACCGGACAATTTACTGTTTTCTTTCGGCTTTACTTTGAACTCACCTACATTCACTTAATCCCGCTAGATATAGATAATCACGGAGTAGGTAGTACATCTAGGCCCTGGGTTGACATTTATTACTTGATTCCACTATACTGCATTTCCATTCTGCGATTACACTTGGTGGCAGTTTGGTGTTGTGTTTTAGCGTGTTAGTAGTCATCACATCACATCACATCCAATCAAGCATGCAAGATACCATTATACATAGTAGGTCACGAGATAAGATACCAAACAAGATACCTCGATGCCAGAGGAGAGCTACCTATCAAGTGAAGTTAAGAAGTTGTCAAGATACCAAGTGGTATGCATGGAAGTAATGATGTCAAGCAAACTACATCAAACACTAAGCATGCAAGGGATGAATGATTATGAAGAAGCGGTTACACCTGATTGCTAGCGCTGCTAATTGACCCTATTAGAGGTCGGGGCTGGCAGGGTCAGTGTGTCGAATCAAATCAATATACCGATTTCTTGAAAATTACATTTGGTACCCAAATTCTTTTTTCTTACAATTTAGTAACAAAACTTTAATTTTTTACAAATAGGTTTGGAAATCTTGATGGTAAAATTACATTTTAGTACCTTTATATTTTTTACCTTGCATTATATTACCTAAACTATTAAAACTATACAAACAGGTCATATGTGTCACTATGAGAAATTTCATATCACTAGTTGTTGCTATGGGTCACAGGTAGGGATGGCAATGGGTCGGGTTGGGTCGGATTTTGCCAAACCCAAACCCATGGGTTTATCCATGAAAAAAACCAGGGGTAAAACCCACTGGGTTTAAAAAACTCAAACCCAACCCAACCCAACCCACTGGGTATCCGCGGGTTCATGGTACCCATTGGTTTTTGTCGTACAAAAATTTACAATAACAAGTTCCTATCAAAATAAAAGTTAAATATCAATCTCTCAATACAAATTATTCATATACAAAAGGGCTAATACCACTACAACATCCGAACTATGAAGAAAATGCCACTTGTATCATATTCTTTCCAATATTCCATTTTTGTCCCAACCTATAATAGTTTGGTGTCATTTACGTCCTAATGATTTTGCTGACCGTTATAGATAACGGTTGACCAAACGGTCAACCATAAAATGTTGACCATTGGTTGCATGGCACATACGTGGCAGCCACGTATGCGCCACGTCGGCTGTCACATCATATTGTTATTTTTAAATTAAAATTTGATATTATTTCAACAAGTAACAACAATAAATTGATATTAACAAAATGCGAAATTGTTTTTCCCATCTCTTCTCTTCACTCCGTCTCCTTTCTCTCTTTTCCTCTTCTCTCGACTGAAGGTGGTGGGGACGCTGGTGGCCATGACGGCAATGACTGATGACGACGGAGGTGGAGACGATCGCGGCAGCTATCCGACAGCGAAGGCGACGACGACCGTGACGACGACGAGCTTGTCGGAGCTCCAACACCACCATCTCTTTCTCCCTTACAACCTCCACGATGTCTCTCCCATAGTTGTTGATTCCCTTGGGGATTTTTAACAGATGGGAAGGAACCAGATCAGGTCAATGTTGTTTCTAGGAGGTTTCTTCCAGATGTGGCGGTCATTATTCGTAGCTTGCATGGCTCCTCCTCCCCTTAGGCTCCTCCCTCCGCCAGAGTGAGAACGTCCAAATCCTCAAATCCAATGACCCAATTGGGGAAGAGATCCATTGAAACCAAGAAAACCTCAATCGAAAAACCCAATTGGAGAAGAGCTTTCAAGAAAGATGGATATGTTCATAGTGGTCGTCATTGGAAGAATTGGGGAAGCCTTTGCTGCAGAATCGCCACCCAGATCCAGTCAATCGAAGAAGCAGTCCGTCAATTCCGAGCCAGAGAAATCGCGGTGGAACTGGGCAGATTCGTGGGATACGAAAAAAATAGGGATGAAAGCTCAATTCTGAAGGTCGAGCCCGAGCCTTCGAGGTTCTTGTGGGGTAGGGAAGTCATCGAAAGGGGAAGTGTCGTCGTAGACACGATTGATGAGGGTCTCTCGGATCTGGTGAGTGGGTAAGGGGTCGGCGGCGCAGTTGGGCGAGGCTCGAAAGTTGTCGATCTTCGCTGGAAAGGTCAAGGCGGTGGTGGCTGTTGTTGGTGTTGCTAGTCGGGAATCAGAGAGGTTGCCATCGGCGATTAGGATGAGAGGAGAAGATTGCGGCAGGTAAGAGGAAGAGGCGAAGCAGGCTGGGGACGGGGGATTCGGTTAGATGAGATAGGAATTTTAATTTTTTAATGTTTTAATTTTTTTAGTTGTTATTTAATTATTTTAAAATTTCACGTCATGTAGCACATCAACGCTGACTGGACTGTGTTAAAAACTAACGGTCAAAACGAGTCAACTTTAACAGAAAAATAGTTCAGGACATAAATGAAATATTGGAAAGAATAGGACACAAGTGGCATTTTCTTCATAGTTCGGGTGTTGTAGTGGTATTAGCCCTATTTAAAACATCATTTTAGAAAATTCAAGCAAATCACAAATTAACCATACAAATTATTCAACACCAATCTAGAAAACTCAAGAAAATTGAAGCAAATCACAAATTATCCATAAAAAATATGATTAATTGAAAGCTTATTCCTCGTCAATTAAGTTTCTTCTTTCTCCACTCGATAATATCAACTTCATTCTACACAAGAAAAAATTAGACATGTCTCCACAAACATAAAGAAGATCAGTTGTTTAGAATATTAAATATACTAGGAAAATTAATTATATGGGTGTGGGCGGGTACTCATGGGGCAGGTTTACCTAAACCCAAACCCAAACCGGTGAATGTTGAACGGGTTTAAACCCAAACCCGACCCAAAACCCGTCAACACATAGACTATAGATCAATTCGTTAATAAGCCACTAGTCATGTTGACTTGTTAGCCACACTGTTGAGTCAGTTTGTGAACTCAAAACAAGTCAAGAGTTAAACTCAATGAGCCACCAAATCAAAGTAGCTTGTGATTCTTGCATACTTAACAAAGTTTAGTTTAACTTCAACTCGTTAATAAGCTAGTCAAATTTCAAATGAGTTTTTCCAAGTCGAATGTCAGGCTCGTGACATGTGAGAAAGGTGGTCAACCCACGGGTCGACCTGTTTGTTGACACGTTTTGACCTCGATCCGGTGAGAAAAATGGGTCACACTCATCCACGGGTACCTCGTTGGAGGTCACACCACATCGTTTTTACTTTTGGTTTACAAAATGTGCCTTTTTTTAATTTTCTCTTCGTCTAACTCTATCTTGGAAATTCTAAGTTGAAAATTTAGATATGAAGTCATATATAAATGTGTATGAATTTTCACTATATATTGGATCGAAGTACGACTGTTATTTTAGTGTAATGTTATATATTTTTACTGTTAGATGAGATTTGATATCATTTATAAATATTTGGACTATATAATGACGTTTTTTATATATCTAAACTAAATATATCAATCAAAAGAGTATCCCGATCAGCATCTAAAGCATCAGGGTGGATATACAAGAAGTTTAACGAGGGGATCCCCAATCACACTGCCTGTATGAAGAAAGAAACTTTGTACAACCAGCTTACGGAGAACGGGCGGATGAAACGATGACCTTAACTAAACTAAAGTTTTGAATCTTAAACTAAAACGATGAAACTATTAACCGTCAACCCATTTGCTGGACCGAGCCAATGGGCTAAACACAACATTTCTTGTGAGCGTTTGCAGCCCTTCACACGGAGCTCTTTGGGTTCGGGATGAAGCAACCAGCAAAGAAGAGAGTGATTCCTACAACCAGGCCCAGTCCGCTATTTTGGCACCTCGCAGTTCTCACCCGACGCATCCGCCCTGGAATTTTCCCTTCTTTGTTTTCGTCGTTTCTCTTTTTCTGTTTTGGTCAGATTTTTCGTCATTTCTCTGTCGCCGTATGCTTCCAGCCGCGAGGAGCCGCCTGAGCTAGCAACCAAGAATCGTCTAAGATCCACCAGAAATCGTTGACCAATCCAAGCCTCCACTAATCAACCAACCAGCCAGCCAAGGGGTCCAATTGTCGAGAAATCAAGGAACAGATCCTCTGCTTCCAAGCTTCAGAAACTTGAATCGTCAGTCACTTTAGCCATTACTCTGATTCCTACCTGACGGCTTTGCGCTCCCTCGCACCATCTTCACTGAGACCTATCCAAATTCAGAATTCTCCATCTACCGGCTGCGATTCTCGACACCGTTGCATATAGGTTTCAGATCGATTGTGAGTCGATAGGAGATGGTAAAGGAGACTGAATACTACGATGTGCTTGGGGTCAGTCCGACGGCCACCGAGGCCGAGATCAAGAAAGCATATTACATAAAGGTGTGTCTTCGTTGTCTCATTGCACTTTTCTTTTCTCCGTACCATATCGTATTAGTCTCACGTTTCTACCTCCTTCTCTTATCTGCAGGCACGACAAGTTCATCCAGATAAAAACCCTAATGATCCTCAGGCGGCACAAAATTTCCAGGCAAGTTTTCCCTCACCGAACTTTCATGATGTTATGTGATTGCAGCAGTGCGTTTCTAAGTTTAGCAAGTGGTCTACTGCCGATTCTTAACTTTTGATAGCTTTAGCATAGCGTTCCATGAACTAGAAGTCCCTTACTATGCACCACTTGGGGGTTCGCACCATCCTACGTGATCATTGAACAGCTTTACTGTTCTTTCCTCACATTGCTTCTGGATGAAAGCGTGTGACTAGAGAGACGAATGGTTCAAGTCCACAGTGTTTACGAGTTTTTAGCTCTTGACTGACTGAATGATATGTTAAGTGTTAACATGCTGCTTTTACTCCATTTCACTTTATTAAGCATTGATTTGATTCATTCATCTATTACTAGCTGCTCTAATTCAGTACAAACGCAATGTGTGAACGTTGCCATTTATTTGTAGTTTTCTCGTAGTTTAAAATGTCTGAAACACAGCAGAGAATTGGTTTCTCTTGTTGTGTCCCTCAAAAGATCTGGGAAGAACTAGTAAAATGCTAAATACTCGTTTGTTATTTGAACCATTTATAAAAAATTGCAAGCAGTTGAACCAGCATGGTCAGGTTTAGCAGTTTAATTGTTCAGAAGACCTGTACTTCACTACCCCATTTTATCATTTCCTTTTCTTTTCCGTTCTTATTATGTTGCCCTTTTGATGTGCCTAAGCTGATCTCAATGAGAATAAAATAGCTAGGGTTGCTGGAAATTGAAAGGAATTGGGTAGGTTTGATGGAGTAAGTGGACCATCACTGACATCCCCCGGATCAATTTTGGGTATAATCTCATCTAGGTTCCCATCACCCTTTTCCTGGAAAATCTTATTTTGCTCTTCTATTGCATACAATGCTTCTCCCTTTCCCTTTTGGTGGTATCTTCCTGATTTTTGTGACAATTGCTTTTACTCTACTTGAAACTCAAAATGACCCGCTCTATCTGGTGTACTGAAGTTTAGAACGAATTGAATTTGGTTTTCAGGCTACTCTTGGTTGTCCCTTATTGTGATGTTATGAATTTGGATACAGGTCTTGGGAGAAGCATACCAAGTATTGAGTGATTCTACCCAGAGACAAGCTTATGATGCCTATGGGAAGTCTGGAATTTCAACGTTAGTCTCTTATTCTTGTCTCATATTTGGTAATAGTTTGTTCACGCATCTCATCTTTAACAGCTCAAAATGTTTTGATGAATTTTGTCCTGCATGCTGCTTTTCCTCCATTTCCACTTTCTTTTGTGACGATTGTTGCATGTTTCTTTCTCATTGCAGTGAAGCGATCATTGATCCTGCAGCAATCTTCGCCATGCTTTTTGGTAGTGAGCTTTTTGAGGATTACATAGGACAGCTTGCCATGGCATCTATGGCGTCAATGGACATTTTCACAGAAGGGGAGCAATTTGATACAAAAAAGTTGCAAGATAAAATGAGGGTAGAATCTATTACCATTAGTTGCATATTGAGTAATTTTGCCTCTTCTGCACTTCACACGATGTCCTTTCATATGAAATGATGCCCTTCATATTTTTATTAATTTTATTTTCTTTCGAAAAATCAACTGATAAATAGAAGACTATGGAAGATGATTGTTAGGGGTAAGTGATCCTTAACAATTGGAGACATAGTCTTCCTCCCTGGAAATTTTAAGCATCCCCCCCCCCCCCCCCCCCCCTCTGTGGAACCTGCTCATGTAAGTTTTTGAAAACTTGCTTCCATGTGATTTTATGTTGGGTCAAGGTTTTATTATTGAAAATTCCTACAGCAACTTGGTCTTTCTTTCCATGTATGTGCATCATCTGAAGGATGCCTGAGTTTGGCAGCTTATGAGGCTACAGCTTTAGGTTCTAGCCGTGAAAAAGAAAAACAGTGGCCCCTGAGGGTTATGAAACTAAAAAAATAAAAAATTCATGGCATAGTTCTTGATTTGATAATGTTAATCTATTTCCTATTGTGTGTTGTGGAGCCTAATCTGTTTCGAGAATCCTTTGCTAATCTTGTCTAGGTTGCATTTACAAACTGATTGACTACAGGTTGTTCAGAAGGAGAGAGAAGAAAGACTAGCAGAACTACTAAAAAATCGACTCCACCAATACATTCAAGGAAATAAAGAAGAGTTTGTTAAACATGCCAAGTCTGAAGTAACTCGACTTTCCAATGCAGGTAAATTCTGTTTATCTGGGAGGATAATTCTAAGAGTGGTCGGAGCATATGCTGTGCATTTAGTTACCTCAATTGAAATTTTGGCCAATCAAGTTAAATTGAACTTTCATGCCCATCACTTTCAACCCAGTTCTGATAATGTTCACCGGAATACTATTTTGCTTTATCATTGTCAATGGGCACACTTTCGTTGTGTAGTAGACCTTGTGCGATTAAGTTGTTTTCAGGTAGCATGGACTTCAGGTTCCATAATAATAGGAGTCTAAAAACTTAAATTTGGATAAGGGTGACTGGTTTGGGTTTCTGACCAAGCTCTTATTCTTTGAAGAACAAGACAAGCTAACCAAATGCCAACCTATTCTGATTTGGCATACTGGGTAGTGCAAAATTGACCTAGATGCACTGGGCGTGCGTTTGGCTTATCATGAAACAAAGTTGTGGCTACTTAAGTTGTTTTCAGGTAGCATGGACTTCAGGTTCCCATGAATAGCTTTTCATGATTTGCTAATTAGGATTATGGGCTTCATGACTCCTATGTAGTTGTATATGTGTTCATCGTTTGTTATGTCTTCTCCAGCTTATGGTGTTGACATGTTGAACACGATTGGCTACATTTATGCAAGACAAGCAGCCAAAGAGTTGGGTAAGAAGGCTATATACTTGGGTGTGCCGTTCGTTGCTGAATGGTTCAGAAACAAAGGGCATTTCATCAAGTCCCAGGTGACTGCAGCAACAGGTTAGTAGAGAAGACATGCTGTAGTAGAGATGCCATGCCTTGTTGCCAGTTTTTTTCATGATTCCCTGTAGCCGTCCATTCTCCTGAAACAGTATTCACAGGTTGTCAATTTGTCGTAGATTAATAGACTTGTGTGGCCCAGTCTTTTCAAATGGCTTCTTTATTAAAAGGGAAGTCTTTTCATCATCTGGAAATAGGAAGATTAGTAGTTGTGGTGCGAAGCATCTTTTTCTGGTGCTTAATCAACCGGAGAACAAATGGATGCATACTTCCTGGATTCAATCTCATTGTAAATGGCATCAAGTTCACTCGACTAGCTAACCAAACCATTCTGCAGTCTGCATCATATTTTCCTAGGAGTGAAAAATAGGAGGCTTTGGTTTATTTGTTTAAGCCATCTACGAACTACAATCTTAGTTCAGGTAAAAGTGGCGAAACTTTGTGTTTGGTATGCAATGCTAGTTAGTTGATGGAATATAAGATATATTTTAGTAATAAAAATGGTAACGATGAAAGAGTAACGGGTGAGATGGTAATAGTTTGTTTATTAATAAACAAACATGGTTTTTTTTTAAGGGGGGGGGGGGGGGAGGCGGAGATTAATTATGGGTGATATCATACATTTATAGATATACCGTATACGTATTCTGCCTGGTTGATCTCAGGTAACTTAAATATATTTTTAATAAACAAATGAGTAGGGTTTTACCACTAGTATTGAACCTGGAAGTTCCCAGGTTCGAATCCCTTAAGTAGCTACTAACCACAAAAAGTAAACCTATACCGCCTTTATCAAAAATAAAAACATGAGTTATGAGTAGGTACTTACGTTTTTGGCTTATTATCAAGTCATTTGCATTGAACTTATGTGTACATCTTTATCATTTGCTTGCGAAAGACTTATTATGTCTTGTGCCTGGTTGGCCGCAGGTGCCCTTGCCTTGATCCAATTGCAAGAGGACATGAAAAAGCAGCTCAATGCTGAAGGAAATTATACCGAGGAAGAGCTTGAAGTATACATGCAAACTCATAAGAAGCTAATGATCGACTCCTTATGGAAGCTTAATGTAGCAGACATTGAGGCTACTCTTTCCCATGTTTGCCAGATGGTAGTTTGCCTAGACTTGTTAGATTCTCCATTCTTCAATACTCCAGCAGGTGTCAGGACTCAGGTCCTTCATTCATTAAATGCTCGTGAAATGTTAGGTTCTTCAAGAGAATGGTGTCAGGAAAGAGGAGCTTCGTGCTCGAGCAAAGGGATTGAAGACTCTTGGCAAAGTCTTTCAGGTACGACTTCTCTTTGTTGTTCATGCCCAGTATCTCCTTATGAGACTTGAATGCAACTTAAGAGTAACACAAGTACCCTTGGTATTGTTTCCTAGAGAGTAACGTCGACCAATGGAAGTGAGGGTGAAGCTGATGTAGGCAGTGCCCTGCATAAGTTGCACGGAAGTGAATCAAGCTATGAAGCATTTTCTCCTGGCTCATCCCCCAAGTCTGGAACAACTGAGGGATCTTCTTACAGCTCATTGTTCTCACAGGTATATTTGCTGCCTGTGACTTTCCTCTTCTTTGAGTGCATGAATTTTTACATCATAGAATTTGGGATAATAAGGTTGTATAAATAAGTTTGTTGCATATCTGCGAGGCTATTTGCCTATCTCCCTTATCTTATGATGATTTAAATGTCATTCTTCTTCTGCAAGTGGTTGGTATCGTCAACCTCTTTTTGCAAAACGTTTGTTGGAGGAACTGAGAGATGATCTAATAATGAGTTTGAACTGTCAAATTGGGGACATTGATATATTTAGTAGGAATGAACCGACTATTGTAGAGTTGCTGTTAACTATTGCATTGTGCCTGTGAGGTCCATCGCCTGTAGTGGCATCAACGCACCTGCATGTAGGTTTAATATGACGTGTCACACTATTGTCTTCCTAATTCACGAATGGAATGTAAAGGAGAGGAGTTGAGTAAACAAAAGCGAAGCTATAATCTTGTTGGTCTTGTTTATCTTTTCGTGTAGATTTTAGGATGTCTTGTCTAACCTCATTTTTCTCTCTACTGGAAAACTTGGGGGACATTGTAGAGCCCGTACGTGGAGTCTCCACAGGTTGCTGGTGGCCAGTTTAACTACGACTTCCCGAGGCCAACAGCACCACCTGGTGCAAATCGATATTCTTCAGCTGGCGGCCAGGGCACCAGTCATTGAACGTACCAATGGTATATGCTTGCTATCTGTCAATAGTATATATAGCTCATAAAAGTTGCTGATGCTAATTTCCTGAACTGGCATGCCTTTGTTTTATCCAGCACTGCGAGGGTTTAGCGTGAACAGTGTTGTGCGTCCATTTGAGATCCCAGAAGCTCGATGGCAATAGTCTAGTTGTGTTTTTTTTGCTGGTAATTTGTTTGGCAGTGCATGTATTATTCTATTTGTTTGATTAGTGGATGTATTAATTTAGCGAGTATTCTCTCGAGTTAAATCGCTGCTGTAATATGGTTTTCAAGTTGTGAGCAATGTTGTCTGATTCGTTTTTCCATGTGCCCTAGTTGGGTGGTGTTTTTTTGGCTTCTAGGAAGAATGGTCAACAACATACGTGTGGTTGATAACAAACTATAAGAGGACACTTTTTAAATTGTCTGTATATATATTATTAGCGGCAATGGTTTGTATTGCAGCTTCGAAAGGATTGGTTGCGTATGGCATATATTGCCATCATGTTAAGTGATAATGTCGTATAAAGGTTTGTAAGGCTGGCTGATTATCTTACAATCACCAATTATGATAGACTGCCTGGGAAACTTTCAGAACAAAAATATGGTGTTTGTTTGAAGGTCCTTGCCAGATCCGGGCTCCTTTGCCTTTGCATAGTGCAACACCGATAATCTTATGATTTCCTCGGAGGAGGGTTACTGTCATGATTCAGTTTGCAGAGTTGAATTGTGACTAGAATGCTGTTATTTGCTCATAACTTATGCAGTTATGCATAGAAAATATTGACGTTGCAGATTATCCTGCGAACCGCAGTTTTGGTCTTTACTTGATTGATTGCGACGACTAGAAACCTGAGTACTGGAACGTATTTGCAGCCTGTGAAAGTCATTTTAGCATTCGGCAGAGAGATTAGGATGACGCTTGAAGCTTCTTGCTTGTTTGTCACAACGAGAAAAACCACAAGATGCAAAAAGGAGGGGAAGGGCGCCGCAGCACATGACACCACCGACACAGTGCTACATTGGAGAGATGCGGTGCGGGGGAGATGGACATGCTGTCTTTGTGCAGCCTAACTCACATGATGTTTTGCCTAATTTGTCACGCTGGCTAATTTCATCTGACTGCCCCTGGTCTGTAAATTATTCACAGCTATACCTCATACCTAATATGAAACAAGGAGATACAATGTATTGGCTTGGTTCTTCTTTCCCTTGAATAATCTTTTTTTTACCGCGAGAAAAGGACAGAGAAATTATATAGAAAAAATTGGGAATGGTTTAGGGATTGGGAATTGTCATTCATTTGAGAGGATTGACATTTCCTTTGTTTTAGTTGAACGCTCCCTTTTCTTTCACTTCTTTCGTCGCCGTAACCTCACCGTCTGGAGAGAGCAGCCCAGCAACTCACGCAACCTAGGCTAACGCCGTCTCCCCCGCAACAGCACAACCCCAATTGCCTCTGCCTCCTCCTCTCTCTCCCACCATCCAGATCCTGTCAAGCTTTTCTCTTTCTTTGTCGTCTTTCCTTTTCCTGACGACTCCAGCTTGCCTTCCTTCCCTGGCCCAAACCCTCTTTAAACAAATACGAAATTATTTTCTTTTCCTATATTTTGGAATTCAATTCAATTCAGTTCAGTTCAGTTCAATTGAACTCCACACCCCTCGATTAGTCCATCAAAGCAAGGCACTTTGCTTGTTACCGCTGCCATTTTAAATTCCAAATCCCACCCTCATCTGCCTGCTTGCCACTTCCCTACTCCCTCCAACGGACCTAAATTGTCTGTTTCCCCAGGCCGGGCTTGGTTCTCTCCCGCATCGCATCTTCCGGCCAAGGGTTGGAGAGTTTTTTCTGCTAATTCTAGGGGTTGGGTGGAGAGGTAGATCTGTTAGCGGTTCTACCCTCTTCAGGTTTCGGCGGATCCTAGGTGGGAATTCTCAGCCTTGCGGCGGGGTGCGATGGAGGCCGACGGCAAGAGATCCGCAGTTTCCGATGTCGGAGCGTGGGCCATGAACGTCATCAGCTCCGTCGGCATCATCATGGCCAACAAGCAGCTTATGTCAGCCGGCGGCTATGGCTTCGCCTTCGGTCGGTTCCCCATCACACTTCTATTTTTTCCACCCCTTCTTCTTCTTCTTCTTCTAGTGGAAAGTTTTGATTCATCTACCAGATCTCCATAATCGGCCATTGATCTGTTACCGCTCTGAATCTCTTTTCTTCTTCTTTGAATTCAGCGACCACCTTGACCGGTTTCCACTTCGCGGTCACGGCACTGGTAGGCCTGGTCTCCAATGCCACTGGGTTGTCCGCATCCAAGCATGTCCCCATGTGGGAGCTCCTCTGGTTCTCCATCGTTGCGAATATGTCCATCACTGGCATGAACCTGAGTCTCATGCTCAACTCTGTCGGCTTCTACCAAGTAAGTATGCTTTTCTTTCTTGCTTGCTTTTGATTCCCCCCCCGATTGCCTGCCACTTCCTGATATAACCCACTTTGCAGATTTCTAAACTCAGCATGATCCCAGTGGTCTGTGTCATGGAGTGGATCCTTCACAGTAAGCAGTACTCGAAAGAAGTCAAGCTATCCGTTATGGTTGTTGTGGTGGGCGTTGGTGTTTGCACAGTCACTGATGTCAAAGTTAATGCCAAAGGTTTTCTCAGTGCTTGTGTCGCTGTGCTCTGCACATCCTTGCAGCAAATTGTGAGTATTTCCTTTCACCTTCCGTTTCTCTCTTGCCTTGGACTTCCTATCTGTACAACTGTTTTTCTGCCTGCCAAACTGCCGATCATTATCATACAACTGTTTTTTTCTGTATCAAACGGATCAAGTACTGATCTTTTACTCCTGGAATGGATAATTCAGCTCATACATGGGTATAGACCCCAACTTGTAACATTTAGTCCCTTGTTTTGGAATCCTCAAAATGATCACTTGGTCTGTTGACGCATATTTTCTTCCTTGTTTTCATTGGAAAGCAAGGCCTGAAGCTATTAGTTCCTATGTAGTCTGGCTCGCGAAATTCGTTATCATGTCGTCCACCAGGTATGAATGAAATTAGTGTTGATTAGGTTACTGACTTTCAGCAAAAGATCACGCCATGCCTAACATTATAAATACTGATGTCCTTTTCGAGTAGCAACTACTTGCTAGCTAACAATATGACTGTGAAGAGGAACAATCAATTACTGGAAACATTCTAAACCTGAACTTAACAATGCAATGCTGATGCATGGTTATTTGGACTGTAAATATTATTATTAATAGATAAAGTACTTGTCTAGTCTGGATTTGTAAGGCGAATGTTTGGTTTTCGAACTGTATATTTGACAACGTTTTCACTTGTGCGACAGACCATAGGTTCCTTTCAAAAGAAGTACTCTATTGGATCATTTGAGCTGCTGAGCCGGACAGCTCCTATTCAAGCCGTCTCCCTTCTTGTCTTCGGACCTTTTATCGACTATTTCCTTAATGGCAAGTTTATATTCAACTACCAGATGTCGTCTGGAGCCATTGTAAGAACCGTTTCTCCTGCCTTAATTATGTAGCGTACGCTAAATCTGTGTATTAGTCTTGCAGCAACTAAGATTATCTGATCAAAGTAACATATATATGTCTGACTTGTGCAGGTCTTCATACTTCTATCTTGCTCGCTGGCGGTGTTCTGCAACATCAGCCAGTATCTCTGCATTGGTAGATTCTCTGCAGTTTCATTTCAGGTTTTAGGTCACATGAAAACAGTGTGTGTCCTCACATTGGGGTGGCTGCTCTTTGACTCCGAGTTGACTTTCAAGAACATAGCTGGGATGTTAATTGCAGTCCTTGGTATGGTGGTCTATAGTTGGGCAGTGGAGGCCGAAAAGAGTTCCGGCAGCAAGATACAGCACGCCAAGAACAGTCTTACCGAGGAGGAGATCAAACTTTTGAAGGAAGGAGTGGAAAGCACATTGATCAAGGACGTAGAACTTGGCGAGTCCAAAGGGTAGCTCGTAAATAGGGGAAACCAAATTGATTAGCGTTTCGCTGTGATCAGCTGAGACTTGCTCGCTGAAAATCTCAGAAGAAATCATGGTTTGTTTATTTCAAACGATTTGTTCTTTTATTGAGTTGCTTTCCTCTAGTTTTCATTTAAATTATATAGTTGTAATTGCACCGTGCAAAGTGGATAGACCCTGCTACGAGAAGCTGGATAAAGAGAAATGTGAACTTATATTGTTCAGAAGAGATCTAGACTATCACCTCTAGTTTCTTGTGCTCTTTCCTCTTTCATTGCTTGCTTCCATGGCTGGGGATGGTAACCAGTCTGTTCTACTCCAATTCCTTGTAGAAGTTCCTTCGGTCCTTCACATGAAGGTTAAGGAAAGATTGGAGTCGGAGATCCCTAGACAAGCTCTGCTTCGATAGCCTGAATCACAGCATACATTTCTCATGCTTACATGAGATAAAATTGGTCTACAGTGATGTACAAAGTTAATGGCAGGTGGAGATATATGAAGTTCAGAAGATTATAAAGATGACTGAAAAGGCTTGTTCGGATTTCTCTGGAGTAGTGAAGCAGCGGAACAAGGCAAAAGTTAGTTGGCAGTGGATTGCTCATAGCTCTGCCTAGAGGGGAAGGATAGCTAGGAGCTTGAAGATGGCTTGTCTCACACGCCATCTTTGGGCGTTTCTCTCTGGTTCTTCTTCCCGGTTTTCGTTGGTTGAAGACGACGGTGTTGTAATGAGAACAAAACAAGGGCGCACTCAGGTACTTTGGCGAATAGCTTATATCTAGAGTAACTTCGTGGCTCCGACTAGGGGAAAAGGGTGCGGTCCGGGCAGGATCAGAGCATATATACTGTCTGCAGTTTAGAACGAGAAGGTAGAACATATATCATGGATTAGATCATATATTAATACATATATCATGGATTAGATCAGGTCTATACGGTGCAATCCAATATGATTTGGACTAGGGATGTCAATCGAACCCGTAATCATGGGTACTCTATCCAACCGTAACCGGTCAACGAGGGTAATTACCCGCTTTGACGGGTTAAGGGGCGGGTACGGTTAATACCCGGTTTCAAAATAAAGGGTAAGGTACGGGTATGGTAATCGATAATACCCACCCCGCTAACCAAATGGTCAATTTCCCTTGAGAAATTTAGTTTAGCTACCATTATTCATGATGAAGATGTAGACGATTATTATGTTTGTGTGGATTGTAGAAGCAAGAACAATTATTATGTTTTTTGTTGTTTTTATTTTGTGGATTGTTGAAGCTAGAACAATTAGAAGTATTGAGAATTTTTAATGGACAACAATATGTATGTGCATATATGTGTATAAGTTCATAGCTTAGGATTCGTACACATAGTTACCCGAATACCCGTGGTTACCCGGTGGGTAGGGTATGGTTATATAATTTTCATACCCGGTGGTTATTTGGTCGGGTATTTTAGAAGGCTCTACCCGGCGGGTTAGGAGTTGGTATAGGGTAAACCCGCACCCGACCCTACCCATTTCCATCCCTAATTTGGACCAGATAGATCATGTTCAACAA